CCGAACTCGAGCCAGTATCGAGCTCGCGGACTAGGACCGTTGCAACCGCAATATGGGAGAGAATCTTGACAGAAATCGAGGAAGAGACAATGCATCATGGGTTCTTCACTACGTATTTTTTATTGTATATAAAGTATGATCCCTCTACTATAAGAGGGACATAGACTGTAACAAAACATGGCTTCTCACATTGAAAGATATCCCCTTCTGCTTGTTTTATTTTATCTTATTCGTTCTTTTTGCTCACTATTTTCATTCTCATAGTCAAGAATATATATATTTCTATTTCTCTATACGATTTATATCAAATTGTATCGCATATCCTTAGAACCATACACAAATCTAACGTTATCCGATTTTTCGGGTAAACAGATTGATAGAACGTTATGTTTTAGAATTTCAATTAAGGTTTTTTTTCTTCAAAAAATAGTGTTTTCCTAGGTTTGACGTTGGCTACCTGTATCTACATAAAATACTTATTTTCATCCTCAAGAAAGTGTTTGCTTTTCAAAAAAAGATTGAATGAAATCAAAGAAAGGTATTGACGAAGATGTTATTTTAATAATATGGGAAAAAACTGGAAGAAGAAAGGGTTATTAAAGAAATAAAGAAGAGAAAAAAAAATTTAGAATTGGAAAAAACTATTTTTTACTTAATTAGATGTTAAAAAGTCCAGTGTGATATCTCACACACCATTCAAAAAGTCATCACGAACTCTTTAGGGAGAGGGGAGGAGGGAGAGGGGGGTAATCTTCTAAAATTATAGTTCGGGAGGTAACATAAACACTCGATAGTTTAAGTATGAAACTTGTAAAATAGTGATAGTTTGGGGTTTTTTAAAGTCATTAACTCTTTGATTATAATACAAATAAATATTTTGAAATATATATATGCGGTTAAATTATTGTTTTTGAATAATAATACACGTACAATGCAACATGGCACACGTGGAATGCAACATGGCAAGTGATTAGAAATTAAATAAGTCCTTGTTAATAAACCTATTAGTACTAGTCTTAGGGTACGCGGATTGCGCGTGTTCCCAGAATTAATGAAAATAAATTCTTTTAAAAATAATATAAATAGTAATATTTAAAATATATGTATTTGAGTTGTAAAATAAACATTGAGTAAAATTACAAGTTCCTTAAAATTATAAATGTGATTATGTTTAGGAATTTGAATCCACTCACGATGGTTCATCCTCTTATTCTAGTTGGTTCATGTCATGCCACTCATCGGTCATCCTAATATGATTCAAGAATTTGATTTTTAATTAAGATCCAACTCATCATAATAAGATTCAAGAGTTGCAATTTGTTATCATTAAAAACTTAAAAAGTTATTTACTGCTACTTTGCATACGTCTGTGCTTTAACAAGCTATGTATTTTGCGTGTGTACACTGCCTTAATAAATTTAATTTTTTTAAAAAATGCACCTAAGTATTATATTTATATTCGCTTTATACAATAAAATACAAAAGTTAAAATGTTATTAAAAATCCAAGCAAGCAAGATAAATTTAATAGTTCGATTCAGCTGGTTATTTTATTAAATTTATATCATAGCAATTTTTCGATTACTCTATTTTGTATAACAAAAATAGACTTTTTGAAACCGTCCCGGTCATCTCGATTTCTCTTCGGTGTTGGTATGGTTCGGTTAATTTTTGGTAATTTTCTTAAAATATCATGTAAGCGTCGCTAATAGAATTTAGAACGCGATAAAATACGTATTCTCTAGACATTTTTACAGTTTAAAAGATGATGAATAAAGGGAATATAAAAGATAGCCATAATAGAGATTCATCTTACTATTCTATGGAGTACATCATAAGAGAAATTAAGCAAAGACAAAAGAAATATAAATCACACGAGTTGGAATATATTAATCAAGATTGGACTCAAGAATAGAGTTTATCAGAAGATTAAGTATCTCATAAGAAAAATCTAAAGCTTTTAATTAGCTATTCATCACTATTCTAATCCACTAATTGTCGCCTATTCATTAGCAAACCCTGTAAATTTGTTTGACAGCTACTTGTAGGAAAGAAGAAGACAAGGGTTTTGAGAACTCTTGAATTGCAAATACGTCCATGTCTAGTGCTCCTTATATAAATTTAAAGGTGGTAGAAAAGTAAGTGACCCCAACAGGACGTAAAATTCTAGTTCCTTCTCTTTTTATCAAAATAGAGTTAGAAAGTAAAATTTTTATTAAAAAACAAAAAAAAACCCTTACAAAGCGGTGAAACTTTCCAATTGAGAAACGTAGGAATTTTAGAACCAAAAGGAACTAAAAAGTCAAAATACTAAATATTAGGGATAATTAAGTAGCTATTCCTAAATATTAGGGTAATAGTTTAAAAAAATATCAAATTACTATTTTATCTATTGTGAACTCTATTTTAAAGGGGTAAAAAAGTCGAACAACATTTCGCTAAGGGCCTTCGTGCTTTTAATATAGTATATATAGATAGATAAAATCTATTTTTAATGTACGCGCTTTGCGTGTCACTTAATACCTAGAATTATAAAATTTACGTACATCAATCATATATAAATATTGTGTTTGAGTTATAAAATATTTTGTTTTAAAAAAAGTGTAAGATTTGAAAGTGATGAATATTGATCACATTTAGCTAGCACTATAAAGGAAAATATTATGTCCCATAAAAGTTCTTAGATGTTTTATTGTGATTTCTGACGACTTCTGTAAGATATCTTATGAAATTGATATTATTTTTATGACAAAAATAAAAAAGTCATACAAAAAACTTATCACGATTCTTCAGAGATTTGTCAAATAACACAAATTAAAATATTATTTTTTTGGTCGTTTGTGATTCCGAAATAAAAAGGTTGCTCATCAAAAATAGTGATAACTGATAATTATATTATTGAGTTATAATTTAAAACCAATAACCTAATCTGTAAAAAAATATATAGAAAAATATCATTTATTGGAATTAATGCAAAAAAGAGAAAGAAAAATAATTAATAATAATTTAATATGCCGTCTTTTATTGTTTCATTCTTATTGCTTCAAGTTTTACTCTTTTTTTCTGACTTGTTTTACTGTCAATACAATCATAAATTTATGTATTCTAAAAGTTTTGTAAACTAAAAAAATAATCTTTACTTATAAGATGAATTTAAAAAATAATTGAATTGAGTTCTTTTGCTAATTAATTAACTCAAATATTTAATTATTTATCCTCAAAATTAAAGGAACTAATTTTATTTTTATTGATTAAAATTCTTAATATTAACTTATCTTAAGCGTGAAATATTTGACTGTAACGTCGAAGGGGTTACAATACTGATATATTATTCTAATAAAAAGAATAAACTATATAAAATAATTATTGACAAGAGTGAGTTGCTCTAGTGGTGAGCACCCTCCACAGGTTGTGAATTCGAGTCACTCCAAAAGCAAGGTAGGGGGTTCTTGGAGGGAGGGAGCTCCGGGTCTATCGGAAACAACCTCTCTACCCCAGGGTAGGGGTAAGGTCTGCGTACACACTACCCTCCCCAGACCCCACTAGTAGGATTATACTCGGTTGTTATTGTTGTATATAAAATAATTATAATTTAATTGATTTTAATTACTAAATGCTAGGAGAAGAATCAACATTTTGTTGCACATATATGTTGCTAGAGTGGTGCTCTTTTTATAAATTAGCGACAATGGTGTTTGGTTTTTTTTGTCAAACGTGAGGAATTCTCTTTTAACCAAAAATCTCAAACAGCATAATTTTTAATTACTAAAAGAAAATTAAATTAGATGGAAAATAAGAAAAGAAGGTAGCCTCAAAGATTTTGAAAGAAGCTTCTGACTAAGAATGAAAACCTGCAGATTAGTCACATAAATCCATATTGATCTACATTAGTCTTTAAATATTTCTTTAAACGTGTAACCTCTTTTAATCCAAAATCAGCATAATCTTTTACTCCTAAAAAAGTTGAATTGGATGGTCAATAAGAAAAGAAAAAGACATTAACGGAAGATAATTCTTCCAAAATCCATATAAAAGCATTAAAAATAAAAGTAACAACAACAAACTAAAACAAGAAAAAACTCCAAAGATTACAACAATATTGTATAGAACAATCGGAAAAAATATAAAGAACTCACCTACTAAGGAGCAATGCATATATCGTTGGCGAAGTACTATAGATTAGCAAGCCTTTTTATACTATCAGGTCAAATAATATGGAAGGAATAAAAATTATGTTACATATTTCAAATAAGAAAAAAATTTATGTAAAGAAAATCATAGTTGATTTTGAATTCCTAAAATATTTAGATTTTCTACATAGTTTAAATAAGGAAAGAATTAATACTTAATAATTAATATTTTAATTGATTCAAACTAATAATTAAATTATAAATTTATTCACTATGAAATCTATTTTTAATGGGTAAAAAAGGCGAACGACATTTCGGTAATGACCTTCGTACTTTTAATATAATATAGATATAGATGCGTTAACTTTTAATATGGATTCGAGCATAGAATGTTCAATCTCATTAAAATACAATATTAAATATTTTAAATAAATAAAAATATTATAAGTCACAATAACTAATACTTTAAACTATCAAAAAATTATTTAAGAAAATATTAGCAAAAGAAAAATTTATCTAACTTTTCAAATAGTAATGTTGTATTACATAAAAATTAAAATATAATGGCATCAAAGGTGTGGCCTAATAGTCAATGAAGTAAGTTGAAAATCATGAGCTATTAAGTTCAAATTGGCAAACATACTATACCTATGCTGATGAGAGGTAGTAGATACCCATAAAATTAGTTGAATTGCGTGCTTGTAATCAGGGAAATAAAATTAAATAAAACAAATGAAATACTTTTGTTTAATGAATGAACTAGTTTACTAGGGATGAAAAGGTAAAGTAAGCAATACATTGGGGACTAAAGTGTAATAAACCATGGAAGCGAAACCCTAATCTTATACATATAAACTGGTACACTCAAAATCAACTTTCCCATTATCCTCCCTAAAGAAAATCGAAGCTGCGGCTACGTCTTTTGCATCTTCGTCGCATCACTCTCCACAAATTAAATCAAAATATGGCGTATGCAGCAATGAAGGCAACAAAACCAGGGCTAGAGGAGCCCCAGGAGCAGATTCACAAGATTAGAATCACTCTTTCTTCCAAAAACGTTAAGAATCTTGAGAAAGGTTTCTCTCTTTTGCCTATCTTTTTTGAATAGTATTTAGGACTAAGCTTTTGGGACTTATAGATCTTGCTGTGTGATTATGTTTTCTGCATTCAAGAACCTTAAGAAATGTTTTGCTTTAGTTTCTAGCTGAAAAGATCTTGTCTATTGAGGAAAGTAGAGTGTGCCTTTGACTTTGAACGTTATAATAGTGAAAATCAATATCTAGTTTGGTAGTAAAATGCAGGATTTTGAACATCTTAAACGAGGATCTTAAGTTCTTAACCCATACCTCATTGAGATGGTATGCGATAAATGGCTGTCTGCGAGCCTCCATATTGGGAATATTTTACATTGCAAATAGTTTATGAAATCAGTAGGAGAATTTCCACAAGGGAGAGATTTGTGAGGCAGACATGTTGAAAAACAACGAAGATAAGTCATCTTAAGTAATCCGAAATTTTTTCGCATAATTTAGGTGTTATACTACTAGTAGTACTATTTGGCCCAGGGCTTAGTTCAGGTGGCAAAGGTTGACGGTCACAAGTTCGAGCCCTATACCATTTTAAGTGGTGAAGGGTAGACAGGTGTACCCATTATCCCTAGTTTCCCAGATTTATTTCTCAGTCATAAAAAAGCTAGTACTACTATTTTTGGGTTTTCGAACATTGAATTTTTAATAGGTATAAAGTGGCTATTTAGCTGCAACAGAAGTTTGATAATGTGGTGTTATGTTTTTCTAATATCAATGTAGTGAATGGACTTGCTTGTATCTTGCATCAATAACTGACTTGTGTTTTCTTGTTTGTATTGACTAATAAATGTAGTGTGTGCTGATCTGGTTCGTGGTGCCAAGGACAAGAGGCTCAGGGTAAAAGGACCTGTGCGAATGCCCACAAAGGTTCTCAACATTACCACTAGAAAGTCGCCCTGTGGAGAAGGTACTATTGCTAGTATCAAATTATCAATATGATTTTATGATATGTCTAGGTTCAAGTATTTCTGTTTGAGTTGTTTAGTATTTGCCTGGATTCAGTTTCTTATTAGTCCAATTTGTGAAGCTTAGCATGGTTGAGACTGGTCAGTCACAAACATATTGTTGTGTGTTAAACGAAATAACAATGATATTACTGCATGAAATTTTCAGACCCCCTTTGCTCAGTTTAGAACATTTGTCAGTCTGAAGGGCCCTGTCTATGCAGATGCCCACAAAGTTTCTTCACATTACTAGTAGAGAGTCTCCCTGTCGATAAGGTGCTATTGCTTGTATCAATTCTGTGGGTGAGCTTGTTTTTATGATTTTATGATATGTCTAGATTCAAATAATTGCTTGTTCCTGTTTCAATCGCTTAGTATTTTCCAGGGCTTAATTGGTTCTTAGTTCAATTTTATGAAGCTTTACATGGTTGAAGTTGGTTGTCACAAACATTTTATTGTGTGCCAAACAAAGTAAAAATGGTACTACTAGGTGAATTTTTTTGATCCCCTTTGTCTAGTTTAGAGCATTGGTTAGTCTGAAGGACATTGTCTCCACTGTCAGTTGCGGAGGTTGTCTGAGACTCCGAGTGAGTCAGGTTCATCCTTGTTTGTTTATATATTCAGTGTCAACTTCTTTGTAATGATATTTTTGGTGCTTACTATCAGTGTTATCAAAGGTGAAAAGCGCAAAAAAGCTCTAAGGTCTGTTGGGGCTTTAAGCGCAAAGTGTAAATAAACGGTGGGCTTTAATGAAGAACATCACAAATAGAAAAAAACTACAAATATGTATGTGTAGTCCAACACTAATATCTATAAGCATGAATACCAAATATATAGACAAAGAAATTGAAGAAAGTTTACGATAAAGTGAAATATCAATTGTTTAGTGTCGCCTCTTCAAGATTACGCTCATTGGCAAGGAAAAGTGTGCCTTAGAGCCTTGATGACAACACTGAAGCACCCACTAAGCGAGGCGAAGCGCTCTGCATGTTTTGAGCCTCACTTCAGGGCTTAAGAGCGCTTTAAGCGCGCCTTTGATTACACTGCTTACTATTGGACAACAGTGTAGAATTTCCTACTTGGAATAGTTTAGAATATAGGTATATATAGTAGATATAATGAAGTGATCTGATTTTTGCTTTTGTTTCTTGTATGGAACTCCTTGTGTACAGTATTAATTAATATTTATTTTTCTTGCAGGCACAAATACATGGGACAGGTTTGAGCTGCGGGTGCACAAGCGTGTGATTGACCTTTTCAGTTCCGCAGATGTTGTCAAGCAGATCACCTCAATCACCATTGAACCCGGTGTTGAGGTTGAGGTCACCATTGCTGATTCTTAGATTTCTCTGTTTTCGTTAGGTTGTTGAATTACTCATTATCTGTTCAAGTACTAGTGGTTTGGAGTTTCTTTCTTGGCCGTCTAAATTATGGGCTTAAGGTTTTCTTTATTCCAATTAAAATTTTGCAGCTAAACCAGATACTAAGTACTATATTTGATATTGGGAAGAGGATTTGTCCGTTATTTGACAGCAAGTGTGATGAATTTTCAGTGACTACTAGTTTTTGGGCTAGCAGAAAAACACCAACCAGCGGTATATAAAGAGCACGAAAAGAAAAAATGTTGATCTGGTTTTGCCTTGGGGCCTCTAGAAAATGCTACTGTTGCTATCGTAACTTCAAATACATGGCAAAGTTTCATATTAGTTACGGAAGTTCATTGTTGCTATAAATTTGTGGTTTGCATCATTTCATTTTGGCAAATAAATTAAGCTATCTGTAGCATGACATGACAATTTATGATTAGCTACGAGCTTTGGGTAACTATGGCTCACGATACTTAGCTATCATAGACTTATATTAAAAATGAGGAATTAGCTTTCAACATTGGCTTGATTTCTACATGAAAATTGCCTTGAGTTTCAAATGAAAATTCGTAATCAATTCAATTTTAAACATATAGTACACATTTAAATTTGTTGTCACTGAAATTGATGTTTACGACTTGTATGGTAGAAGGACCATCCCAATACTTGGGTCGGAGGAGGTGGTTCTCCTCAGGGCCCAGACATAGGCGGATAGAGCTTTTGTGATATGGAGTTCAAGTTAAACCATACTCAATGCTTTAATACTATGAAACATAATAAAATCACTAAAATTGGAACAATCATTGTATTCTTAACCCATAGTTTCCAAAGTTCAATAAGTTCTTTAAAAATTGATCGAGTTTTTAAATTTTCAATCCGGATAAGTTGTCACTTGTCAGACAGTGTATGACTTTCTATATTTTTCGTTGGTTTAGAATCTTAGGTGGATATTTACCCTCAAATGTAGGGGATTGTAGAAACTAAGAGGGAAAAAAGAATAAATTCTGCAGAGTTTGAGATGGCTCTAGAAAAGATTAGAGATAGCTCTTGCCGCCCAAATAAGCCCGCACCATACAAAAATGATAGAACATGTTTAATTTTAGTTCAACCAAACCAGCTTATTAAACAAGTCACGTAGGGCTGGGCATTTATTGGGATAACCGATAGCCCGAACCAATAAAATGCTATTGGGTTTATCAATATCGGGTTATTGGGTAAATGATTCGATAACGGTTTAATGTTCTTTGACTATTGGGTTATCGATTCGGGTCTCGGTTTGCCCAATTTTATTAACGGTTTAACCGATAACCCAATAAACTTTAACAAAATTATAACTTTACCCACTAAGTATATAAAGTCACCCTATGGCTTTATTCTCTCAATTCTCTCAGCAGTTACTCTTCATCTTCAGACCTTAATCCTTAGAGTAAGTTTTAAATTTTTCTGAATTTCTCATTTTAATTCTTTAGCTAAGATTTTTAATTTTAAACTTTAAAGAATTAATTGTTCAGATTTTTATTTTTTTATTTGTTTCTTTTGTTGCATTGATTCTTTAGTATTTACAAGATTAGGATTCCTGTGAATTATTAATCACGCCCAACTATACCTTGTAAAAAGGACTTAGCGCGTTGCAAATATATTCCAGTTAATAAGTCCGGAGTCGAATCCCACAGGGAATTAACCTATTAAACACAACTACTAGACTCGCACAAATTCACGCAATCAATCTTCAAAAATATTTAAGTAACAAATTTGATGTTTACTAACTAAATATCACGTAATGAAAATGCAATAATTAATAACTAACTACGAACGGGTTGTAGGCAAGAATTGGAATGATCTAAGGTTATGATTTTCCCTATTGTCGGAATCCTTTCCGTTACGTATTCTATAAATTTGCCTTATTCTTCTCTACCGATCATGAACGCTCTGAGTGTTGTAATTCTCTCCCGAGTAACTACCACAATTTACTAGACATATTCTCCCGAATTACGCTAGCTGGCATTAAGTACGGCTCACTCGGATCGCACCAAGGTTTCGTTATCCCTAATCCCACCTTTAAACCCTCTGTATTGATTCCTCATATACGTTAGGAGTGATGTTGTTCAACAATTACCTAAATATGCACTCTCTCACGAGTAATACACACTAAATAGGCACAGTCGATTGAGGGCCCTTCAATCAACAACAATAATAATATAGTTGAACAAATAGAGAAAATACTACGGCAAATCTATATTAACGTAACATGAAATCATCCTCCTATAGGTTCCATCAAAACCCTAGATTAGGAGTTTAGCTACTCATACTCATAGTAACAATATCCCAGATGTTTTGCATAATTAAATTACAAAGTAAAGATGAAATAATGTAGAAATCAATGATTCTAACTACCAACGGTTGTTTCACGAGCTATCCTTGCCTCCGGTTGCAAAGCTCTTTCAAAAATGGCATTTTATATCTATTTATATATGTAGAAAAAGACCTAAACGACATAGGCCAAGTCCTAGTCAAACCAGAAGACGAAATAAGCCTTCAAAGTTCGGAGTGTGCGCGCCTCACACCTCGCCCCGCGAGGCTTCACGCGAGCAGGACCTCACCCCAGACCTGGCGTCGCCAGCCTTAACGCGAGGTGGACCTCGCCTCCTGCCTCGCCTAGCCTGCTCCCATGCGAGCTAAAAGGCTCGCCAAGCCAGCTCCCACACGAGCTATTAAGCTTGCTTCGCCAGCTTTCTCATTTATCCGCAGCTCACTTCTTTCTTTCTTCTTTTCAACTGTTTTCGAGCACGCTTTAGACTTTAATTATTCTTTTTGCTCTACTTTCATCTCCAATTCACCTACACATAAAATAGACTCCATTACGCGCAAATAAAGTGCAGTTTATCATTAAAGTATATAAAATGCAAGGCAAATAATGTAATAAAATATGGAATTATAGCCATACATCAATACCCCACACTTAAACATTACTCATCCTCGAGCAATCAAACTACACTTATAGACACAACCTTTTTAAGCAATTCCCTTAACTCATCACACCAAGAATCTTTAAAATAGTCTAAGCACAAAGGTGTAACATCCTCACCTCAAGATTTGACTCATAAATACCATACCTTATTCACAATTCATTTACTTACTCTAACATGTAGGTCAATGACATTTTTTTTCCTTTATGAATCACGTACCCTCACCCAACAAAGAGCTTAGTTCCACACACAATGAATTTTAAGAACGTAGGAACTCAATATAGGAAAAATTCACTCGCTCTCAGAAATAACATTCATATACCATAAATGATGCACCATAGGCTTGCCCGTAGTGTAATACTCTACTAATCGAGCTCATTCAGTCTAGGATCAAGTAGGACTTTAATTGGTTGTACTGTAGGTTACGGGTAGGGTAGGATACATTTGGATATGAGTGACTACACATCCCTTAAGCACTTTAATACATATACTTTAACATTCAAGCCCATACTTATGTCAAACCAAAACTCCACCTTCACATCAATGTATATTACCCCATACTTCTTTAAGCACAATTACATCAAAAGCCACCACCATCAAGGAATATTCTTCACAATAATACAACTAATTTTTTTTTCAATTCAAGTGGCTTTTATTTTTTCAAAACAGTGCATCTTTCTCCTTATTTCATTAGTTGCACTCAAAAGCCAAACCAACCACCCCACACTTTAACTTTTACAAAGTTCATAACAATTCAAGTGCTCATGAGAGGTGAAAAGGTTCAAATAGATGGTTAATTCAAACAAAGGGGTAAGGCTTATAATGTGGTTGCCAAAAAACAGGATTACATGCTCAAAGGGGTTAATTACTTTACATAACAATTAGGCGGGTAAACTATATATATCTGGCTTAACAAAGAAACGCTTATATTACTTCCAAGACTGAACAAAACTACTAATTCGCTTTGCAAACACACGGGGCAAGTTCTAGACATCAAATGCAATGCACAGAATAACACACAAACCTCACACACACATGGCACATAACTCACTCAGGATTGGTTTTATCACGACACCCCAGTCAAAGCAGTCAAGCAAATTTAAGATTCTATTATTTAAGGTACTTATACTAGAGTCAAAAACTGAGCTTAAGCATCACAACGAGAGTACTAACTATTCTCAAGGCATAATAAAGTTAAGAGATATCGCTGCAATTCAATTCATAGCCTAGTGATTTCTACTCCTAAAAATTAAAACTAACCACACCCGGTACAAATAAAACCCTTGGAAAAGAACCGCGACTCAAAAAAAAAACCAAGGGGGAATTACTACACTACCTACAAGAAAATCTTTTTGGTTTATTTTTCTTTGGACTTAATTCCCTCAAGAAAACTGTCTAGGAGATCCATCGTCGGGAAGAGTCTAATTTTTTTCTACTTCTTTTTTTAATAGGCTAAGACGACAACTGACAAAACAAGAAAACAAATGAGTAGGGTGTAGGAAAAACTCCCTGATCAAGCTGCGTCCTCGCCCTCATCCTCTGAGGCTACCCACTCCTCGTCTTGTGCTTCCTCCTCCTCCTCCTCCTCCCCCTCCTCATCCTCGTCCTCATCATCATCCTCATCATCTAACTGCTCCGGCTCGGTCTCGGACTGCTCAGGTGTGTTAACATCCTCGTCCTCAGGGAGTCTGTATCTATCACCTATCCCAACCAGCTAGGGGTGGGCATATTTCGGTCCGAACCGAAGAAACCGACCGAACCGAAAATATTTTTATTTCGGTTTTGGTTATTCGGTTTTTTCGGTCAGTTTCAGTTTAATATTTTAAAATTTTAGTTTTTTCGGTTCGATTTTTGATTATTAATTTATTTGGTTCGGTTAACCAAAAAACCGAATTATTAGCATATAGATTCTTTAAGTTATAGACTAAGCCCATAGGTAATAATATAAGCCCAATTTTGAAGTCCATCAAAGACCCAATCTAAACTTACCATTTTATTCTAACTTACCGAAATTTTGAAAGAAAACCAACAAATTTATTAGTCTAATTATTACATATAGAGAGCCCAATATGATAATTTTCAAACCAAAAACCGATTAGAAATAAACCGAACCAAAATTAGAAAACCGAATTGAACCGAACTTATTTTAGTTCGATTTCGGTTACTACTTTTACAAAACCGAAAACCAAATAACCGGACCAAATTTCTTCAAACCGAACCGAATCGACCGAACGCCTACCCCTACAACTAGCTGTTGGGCATGAGCATTGAGCGGGTACCGCTGCTCCAATATGGCCCTTTCCTCTGTAGTGGCCGGCCGTCCCTCTATCCGAAGCTACAAGTCCATCATCCCATATAAATGGGCCATGAAGCTGTCATCACGTGCATTGCGCACAGTCCATGTCAGTGAAGTTGT